GCAAAGTCTACATGCTCATCTATGAGCAGAAAAGCCAAGTGAAAGCTTAAGGCCCTGAGTTCAAATACCATTACCAGCACACACACACAAAAAGAAAACACCTACATCTGCTAAGATCCATAATTTTCCCATTACATTGAGCTACTTTCATTGGCTGTCAATATAACAGGATAAAAGTGAGCAAAAGAAAAATGAGACAAAACAATACGAATACAAAGAACAATGATTCTCCTATTCTACCTTTTAGTCCTGTGATGGGGGAAGGAGCTTGGTAGGATAGATGTTTCCTCCAAAAAGCACACACCACCTAAGAGTCAGCAGTGCTACCAATGAAAACATTAGATTGTCTAAAAACACTGAAGGAAAAAGTCATCATTGACAAATTTGATTGGCAAAAGAAAAATCTATTTGGGGGGGGGGGGGGGGGGGGGTCCGGTCGTGGGGCCTGAACTCTAGGCCTAGGTGCTGTCCCTCAGCTCTTCAGCTCAAGGCTTCAGCTCTACCACTTGAGCCACAGTGCCACTTCCGGCTTTTTTCTTTTTTCTTATGTGGTGCTGAGAAATCGAACCCAGGACCTCATGCATGCAAGGCAAGCGCTCTACCACTGAGCCACCTTCCCAGCCCCAAAAATCTAATTTTTTTTAAATCCTTCAAGATTGTCCTTCTGACCCAACACAGAAGACAGACCCCAACATTTATGCCAACCATTTCAGACACCCAAGATCTGGAATAAATCTTAAGAGATACCTATTGTATACACAGGAGAAAATAAAGGCCAGAAAAGGTAAGGAACTTTCTTGTGATCACTTATAAGTGCAAAGTCAGGTCACTAACTTATATCCTTTCCATACGCTTCATCCTTTCACACCACTTGTGACTTTATAATCTGAGGTTCTCTGAGGTATGCCTTTTCTGCAACTGTAATGAAACCCTGCAGAAGAAGCCATTGGAAATTTCCTGGAAACTCTCCATTTTCAGGAAACTTAACTCTCTGAAAGACTTAAATGAAAAGGCTGAGAAATAAGTTTTCTTGTGGTTGATGCTAGCTGGAGTTTTGGCTCCAAAAGGAACAAATAAGGGGTCTGGTTCTCTTAAATACCAAATGTGTACAGAGAAGCTCACTGGTGATTCTGGGGCCAATTTGTGTTTTCATAAGTGACTCACAGACCACAAAACTACAGATATAAACAGGACAACAGATACACTTTTAAAAGTGAGACCATAAAAGCCATTCTGAACGTCAGCACTACAGCATTTCAGGTAGATTAGCAAGTAGTTAGCAACTGTCACAGTTTCCCATTACTGTGGAGCATGATCAGCCACAGAAAGCACAGTGGTTTTTAACCAGACTCTTATGCTAAGGATGGAAAAGCAAGCTTGTCCCCTTGAGATACAAGAAAATAATGTCCCCATTAAAAAATAATACAAGGACAGAGAACTGAAGATGACAGTAAGTAAAATGAAGGCAGTCCAAGAACAATGCTCCAATGATCATGCTCTGAAGACACAAATGTTAATATTGTAAAAATAACTAAGAATGGAAACTCAAAATTTATTTATGGTTTAGTTGTGTAATTATTTTTTAAGTGGGGTGGGGAGGGGGATTGTGGTTCTGATTGAAAATGTTTTCTTGATTGGGAAGAAAATGTTAAATGAAGAATATATTAAATGAAGAGTAACTTTCCCAGTAACCTAATACCCAACATATGGGGTTCTGTAGTTATTCTTGAGTGTTTGGCTGCTTCGTCCGTGGGCGCCCTGACAAGATACACTGGCCTGCAGGATTAACTGTTCCATATGGCTAATAACCTAATGCAATGAACAGTTGGAAAAAGCATTACTTCAGAGGTACCTCAAAGAGCAGATACACCAGGGAACAGACTGTTTCCTAATGAACTTGGCCGTATCTTGCCGAGAAAAGACCCCCATGACACATGGAAATGTTAGGTTACAGCACAGGGGGCATCATGGAAGCAGGGGTCTGAAAATGTTCCCTATCCATGGTAGAAATCCTCAAAGTGAACGGTGCCAAAAGCTTTTTATTTTGGATGAACAAATTCAGTGTCACGTACTGGTGCTATTTGGCATGTATTTCTATACCTTTTCACAGAATTCTTAAGGAAATAAAAGGTGGATCTAGAAAAAGCCTACTAATCCCTGTATCAAGAAATAAGCTTTTTTGATGAGTACCATTTTGATTTTTAGCTGCAGTTGAACAAATCAAATGAAATTATAAGAACATAAAATTTATTTTTAAATGAATCCACTTAGATCTTAAACTGGCCAAAGAAATTTCTCAAAAGGTGACTGAAAGTATGGGGTATAATGCATAGATATAAAATCTTAGTGCGTTTATAAATCATTCCAAAACACTTATTCAAAAAGCAAAAACTCACCCTAAAAGGCCCAGTGGGTTTGACCTCTGGTATGTGTCCTCAGAATGACTCCTGAGCAAACAGCAGTATTATGGAAGCTTTACTAGCACAGGAGTTGGGTTCTCTCCCACCTGGCAGTTAACTAGCCATAAACAAGACAAAGTGTGTAACTGCCCTGAATCCTTCTCCTAGGCTGGCCTTAGATAATATTTAAGGTTCCTTCCAACTTTAAAGGTCTCAGAAACAAAACAAGCTCCATTATTTTGTGGTCCTGTGCTGAGACTTTTATAACATATGTCCAAGAAGCAGGAACTGAGTCTGAACCATCTACTCATTAAATGAGTGAGCAGAATATGGAAATCTGAAGTCATCAAATTGAGTAATATCAACTTGATGTATATTAATGCATTAAGGGTAGGGGGAAGGCAACAAAAGGTAATCTGAAAACTCGGAGACCTGTAAAGTATGTAAAACAGTGTTGATTATTGTAACTGCTATTAAAACTCTGCAATAATCACCACAATAAAATGATGATCGAGGTGAATGAACTTTACTATGTGTACTTTAAGGGCTTTGCCTCCTGAACTCTTAATTTAAAACTCGGCAATTTCAAGAAATATGCAGCAGCTAACACGTACGTGTGTTCATTCTGAGAGTGCAACAAAAATTAATCTTGATACTGCCTAGTTCCCTTTGAGCCATACTTTTAGTGTGTTTACTCTCTAAAGCAGGTTCCCGTCCCTGTCAGGTCCATGAAACCATGGTACATGATAGGACAGATGCGTGCTTCTTCCACCTGAGCACGCTCATCAGGGCCTACCTTTTCTTTTACCTGGAACTGAGCCATACTGGCCAACACTAAAAATTTCAGGGAAAATGAGAAGATGAAGGGACTGAGAATTAAAGGGTTTAATTTTTGTTCCTACTTATGGTAGGCAAGAGATAACTGGGACAGTGATAACCTTCATTAGACTAGCAACAGGTCTAGGGTCAAGCCTTAGACGGAACTCATGAAGTGCCACAAGATTAAGATCAAGGGCTAAGAAACAGGCAATTGAAGTTAAGGATGTGAGCTTCTGGAACAAACACATGTGCACCCATGCAGGTATGCTCTCTTCTTTTCCTGGGGGCAAAAGCAACATTTTTCTGAGAACTGCCGGCTAAGACCGGTTCCCACCCAATATCAGTCATGGGTGGATTGAAACAGGGGCAGGTTAGGATAGGAGCACCTTCAGACAGCTACACTCCAATAAAATGAGGCCATCTGTCACTCATACAATGTGTGAAGGTAGAATTCTGCTTACCTACTGTGAGAACTTGAAGAGAAAACACTCTGGAGCCCTTTCACCCGCCACTATGACCCCGTTAGCTCAAACTGGAATTCAGCTTTCTATAGGCTTCTCTTGGACCAGCATAAAATCTAAGTTCTCTCAGATTTCCCTTAGATTTGTAGCATAAACCATATAATCTCAAGACTGAGAAGATATTTTCAAAGACACACTGAAATAGTAAATGTGGAATTACTATATACCCAGCATAAACTGTCTTATTTTTTTTTCTTTTTTTCCAGGGCTGAGGACTGAACCCAGGGCCTTGCACACACCGGGCGGGCGCCCTTCCACTGGGCTAAACCCCCAGCCATAAACTGTCTCATATTCATAGGTACATGAAGACATATAATATTGCCCAATAAGCAATATTATGTTTAACAACCAAAATAGTGAAAACAATCTTAATGTATAACAGAATGAAATATTACGTAGCGATGAAAAGGTGCAGTACTGCTAAGCAAATGAATTTAGTAACAAAAATAAAAGACTATAGAGTGTATAATTTCATTTATAACAAGTTGTAGAATGGACACAGTGACTCATGCCTGCTATCACAATTACTTGGGAGACAGAGAACAGGAGGATCAAGGTTCAATGATACTCTGGGAAAAAAGTGAGTGAGATTACCATCTCTATCAGTCAATTGGCCTTACTCTATCAGTGGTGCACAGTTATGACCTCACTCATGAGGGGGGGTTCTGAAACCAGCCCAACCAAGAATGGTGAGACTATCTGAAAAAATAACTACGCCAAAGGAGCTGGGTGATTGGTTCAACAGATAGAGAGGCCCTGAGTTCATAACTCTGTAAATATATTGAATACTACTGAACATGTTATATTTGAATGGGTGAATTTTATAGTACGTGAATTATATCCTAATAAGCTGTTCATGAACATTTCAGTTTCACTAAAAAATGAAGTTTCACATTTAAGATTAATTTTCCTTAGTTATAGAATAAACTAAATCTTATTTTGGGTGCTATCACTTTCTATTTGAAAGAAAGAAGTCAGGTGAAACAAAGCTTACACATGCCCTTTTGTGGTAGTTCTCACTGTGGGACACTTTACAGGTTAACACATGTCAAGGCCTTACGTCCATGTAGAACATTTTTCACTATGCTCTCATGCACAAGAACACAATCCAAAATCCTGCTGTGTGCTTCACACCACCCACAAGAGACAAGGGGAAAAGTACTGTTGTACCCTTCACCCTGTAACAAAACCAAGGCCATAAATCAGAGGAGCAGAGCAAGGTAAACATGCTATGTGCTCAACCAGACACTGCCAGACTCACCGTCGGGGACTCTGGGCCTTGTTTCATCTGAGGGGCAGCAGCTCCATTCCCAACAGTTGCCTCTTCAGAAACTGAACTTGCTCTGGTCGGACTCAGAAAATCCACTTCATCTTCAGCTTTAGTACCTGGCATTTCTGAAGAACAAGAGGTCACAGAGTAAGTGCATTTGGAGGGGAAAAAAAAAATAGTTCCTATGTGTTACGCAACAAACTCCAGGTAAGTGTGTCTTGTTAGTTTTTCCACTGAAAAGAATTTTCCTGCTGTCAGGAGGTAGTGTTATTTCTGACCCAGTGCCATTTCGGAGCTTTATCCCTTGTTTGTGTGGCATTCCCCATCCCTTGAGGTTTGGAAGGTCTAATGCAACGTCTATCGAATGTCCATTTCACCAATGGCTTTTCATGACAAATCCGAAAATGGTAGAGATGACCCCTGTGTGGAAGTCAATCCACTCGTGGTAAGGGCCAGATTAACAGCTGAAAGCAGGTAGCCCTCCTCGGCCGTTATCAAAAGTCAGGAAACTTGTACATAGGAAGCCACTGAGAATGAAACAAATCCTCCTGGGACAAATCTTTCTTTAAAAAGATAGGACACACAAGTAAGAGTAATCACAAGTGTCAATCTGATTGAAATACTGTTTAAACATTTATGAAATATACATGTCAGGAGACTAATCAGAACAATCAGCATACACTAAAAAAGAATTACAAAAACATTAAAGTGGGTCCCATCTGGGCTGTGGGTATTACTTAACAGATGGGGAAGAGCAAATGGAACTAAGTTTGAAAATGATTCGAGATACTTTATGTACGTGTGTGAAAATGGAACACAGCAAGTTTGCTGAAACTCCGTTGGAAGGCTGAGGAAAAGTGAAGAAGGGTTGAGTTTGATCACGGCATACCATTTGCGCATATGACATGTCAAACTGAAACTCCTTTGTGCAATGAATTGATACTAATATAAAAAAGTGTAGTAGGTACAATAGCTATGTGTATCTGATCATATAAAATAATATTTATCGAAATGAACCCCAGGAAATGGAAACAAGAGGGCTTTTTCTTTGCTGCTACTGTTTTTGTTTTCATTTCCTTTTGTCTTCTTTGCTTGTTTATCTGTCTTTGGGAGGCTAAGGGAGGCACAGAAATGGTGGGACAAAGGGTAAACAAATGCAGAAGTGATACTCATCAGACAGTATGTTGAACATGAACTACACAACTTGTGGATGGGGACAGGAGGGAAAAACTGGGAGAGAATGAGGGAAGGGGTGATATTGTTCAAAAAGAAATATACTCTTTATCTGACATATGTAATTGTAACCCCTCCATACATCACCTTTACAATAACACTAAAGAATCTTTTTAATGGAGTAGGTAAAACATTTATGCACTATACATCTTGATCCATCCATCACTACCATCAGTAAGACTGAACTATTTTGTTGTTTTAACTATTTTGTTTCTCCCAAGACCAAACATAATTTTAAGAACTTTGCTTATGAAACGAGCCTTTGTGTATGTTCTCTTTAAAATGATCCTCTTGCTGTCTGTACTCAACAGATCCACAGCAGTGATTTCTGTTAGCCACCAAGCATCAGTAGCTTCTTAAGCAAGTGATATAAGTGATACTTAAGGAAACTTTGGGCTTCTGCCAATCCTTTAAGGGGAAAGACGATCAACTAGTGAAAAATTGCCTTATAATACCTAATACTAATGGAATTTCCATGTAGTAAAGTTGCCTAGGTTGTTAGCTTATCTAGTAATGCCACTACTCTAGCAAATAAAAATGTTCTGTACATCAAGGAGTTGAGAAGCTTCCGTCACCAAAAAGTTATGTGAAGGTTTATATTCTAGCAGAAGGTGTGACAAACCCAATTTTCCTTTGATGTGGGAAAGTGACATCCCTATATTTATAAATCTTTTTTCCTTGCCTTTATAATTGTATAATCTTACTAGTAAGTTTTAAATGGGTAAACAAGCATCCTTGTCCAGTGAATGAAGATACATTACATTTCAAAAATACAATTAAGAGTTTTTCCAATCTGACTAAGCAATCCCTACAGAAGTATCCCACAGTGAAGTATCTTGAAGGGAGTCAGATTAACTAAAAGATTGGAGGATGGCTAGGAGATTGATGGTTTTATTATTTGGGGGTGGGATTTGGGACACAAACTCACTTCCCTGTTCCTATCAGCAGAAAATATTTATCTTGGCAGCAGCAAGCAGTCACAATGGTACCGAAGATACTGAAATTTGAGGGGCATTGGCAATCTGCAGCACTGGCATGGCTTAGTCATATACCTCCAGCTTTCTAAGCACTGTGGTCAATGCTTTTTGAGGAGGAAGGGTCACATCTCCTCTTTCCGACTGTCCACTTCCAAATCAGCAGCTAAAACCTGTGTCTTCTCACTCATAAAACAACATACACAATTGAATCTGTGAGTGTAATGCAAACTTCAAAGAAAATACCCTTTGGCTCTGAGATCATACTCAGGTGCTTTTTGTCTGAGGCAATTTACCAGGGACTTCCCCCTAGCCATCACTATTTTGCGAAATGTCTCTAAAATGGAACATCAGTTCTCTAATTTGAAACTGTGAGTATCCAGTTCTGATTCCTTCTAGTAGCAGAAAAAATATCATACACAAACTATATTAAGTCTAGACCCACATACACTTTTGAAATCTCCTTTCTTACTTAAAAACTTTCAAATCTCGGCCAGGTGCTGGTGGCTCACACCTGTAATCCTAGCTCCTCAGGAGGCTGAGATCTGAGGATCACAGTTCAAAGCCAGCCCGGGCAGGAAAGTCCATGAGACTCTTATGTCCAATAAACCACTAGAAAACCAGAAGTGACACTGTGGCTCAAGCGGTAGAGTGCTCGCCCTGAGCTGAAGAGCACAGGGACAGCATCCAAGCCCAGAGTTCCAGCCCCACAACCGACAAAAACAAAAACCATATAAAATAAAAAAAGCTTTCAAATCTTAAACACCATTTCTTAACATATGTGCTACATACGTACTACACTAAATGGCAAAGTCTAGAGTTCTCTGCTTTTATCTTTTCTCATCCAGCCCTGGAAACACCCAACCCCACATACTTCAAGTTGCTTAGGTTAAATTCTGACCACGAAGGCAAGAGAAATAATTACAGCTTGTTTCCAGGGACAGAGCACCTAATAAAAAGAACACAGCCAGGCATCAACTTACAGCCACTCCCATTCTTATGAAATAGCAACCTGCTAGGGCCCTGAAATAGAGTTGTTACTTTGCCTTATTTTAAAAACTAGAGCTTTGCACATTTACATTCTGAGAAAGCCGTTAACAAATTTCTACCACTAATAATCTAAAACAGTGTCAGGGGAAAAAAACAACTCTGAAAGGCACCAAAAATTCCACCCCAAGTTCCTTAAATTCCACTTTCAAGTTCCTTAAATCCCTCACTAGGGTGAGGATAGGTGGTAAAATAGCTAAAAACCCTTTATTGAAGAAACTAACCACTGTGTTTAAATTGCTCTTCTTCCCAAACAATTTCTTAATTTTTTTCGGCTTATTCATTTGTCTCCACACCCCACCCCTATACACTCTACAGTCACCAAAAAGAATAACCAAAATCTAGAAAGCACAGCAAAAACAAAAACCACATAAAGACAAAACAAGCTACATCTTACCTACAAAATGGTAGGGACAGCCATGGAAATAGCTCCTGTGTCTACAGCTGGTGGCAGGTAATATGAAAATGTTTGTTACACTAACCTTTAAAGACTTCAGAAGGCGAGACCGAGTCAGAGTCTGACTCCAGTTTCAGCTTCAGCCTCAACTCTCAGTAGTAAGTTTTATTCAGATAGTTTCTTTCCACTGAGTAATAGTGGTTTCCCTCTGCCTTTTCTGGACATGGCTGCCCGTAGATGGAGCGGGCTGCTGTGTGAGCAATCTGCTCCGTGCAGCTGCTTCACCAAGATAAGCCAGCACAAGGTCAGCCCAGTCAGTGACAGGAGCTGGGCAGACTGGGCTTGGGCGGAAATCCTGCATCCTATCCCCTGTGCTGTGCAGGTCCTGAATTCCCAGGCTATGCCCAAAAGCATCAGAAAATGGGAACTGGAAGACTGCTCCTGAGACAGGAAAAGGAGGGAATGCACTCCACCCCAAACCTAACCAATGACCTAATATCACCATTTTGGATGTTGGGCCATCCACTTCAAACAATTCTTACAGCTGTTCATGAAACTACTTAGGCTCTAAATTTACTCAATACAAACTGGGATGGCAGGGAAGAAGGGAGTCTCAGGCTTATAAATAAAACATATCCTTTCCAGCCCTGTTCTGTGATCCTAAAGAAAAGGACTTAGGCTATTTACTAAATTCCTTTGTCCCTTTAAAGCACCTGTGCTCTAGGCACTATCCTCAAGGTTTGGAAACTGCTACTGCTCCAATGTCAGAGCCTTTAAGGCTTCAGCAATCAAATCATGAGTCTGATACAGGAAGTAAAATCTATCCAACCCTAGCTGGTGTACATCGCCTGATGACAGTGACTATTAACTTGGAAACTTACAGCAGTGAGCAAATGAGACCGTACAACAAGAAAGGCAGCTGCATTTTGACTAGTATGTCACAGAAACTTGGGGAATCTCCTTCAAAACTAAATTCAGTGTTTGCCTAGCTTACCTGTTGCCGGCTCAGGTTCTTTGACAAGCAGAGTAGTTTTCTCTGGCTCCTCCGTTCTATCAAAACATCCCTTCAGGCTGCTGGTGGCTTCTCCAGTAGTCGCCATTTGAAGGGTCTCTCCAGGTGGAAAAGCACTCGCTTTGTCTACAGAAGCATTCTCTGGCTGTTCGGTCCGAGGGCCCAACTCAGAACTGGACAGTGATGATATGTGACACACTTCCCCTCCAGTCACCAATGCTCCGGAGGCTTTGACACGCTCAATGACCGCCTCCACTAAACGACTGGCAGCCTCTTCTATTGAGTCTGCTCCCTTAGGTACAATTGAAACCATGCCAGGTAGAGAGAGATTACTCCTTTCCTCACCAGGTGCTGAGGCCTGTGTGATTTGTCTCATGCCCTCTAGGGTCTCGTCATCAAGAACTAGGAGCCCTGTGCCTGTAGGGGGCTCCTTGGCAAAAGGCAGCAATGTTCCATCATCCATGTGAGCCTCCTTGGAGTCAGCCATGGAACAGCTGTGGTCTCCCTCCTGCCTCCCTCTCTTTTGATCGAGGGTTACAGTCTCTGGGGCTGCAGCTCCTTGCAAGCCGATCCCACCTTTGTCTGGCAGAGCTCCTGGCAGACTGACAATCATATTGTTCTCTCGGCTCACTGAAACTTCTGAAACCGAGTTGTCTTCAGTGTTGCGAGACAGATCCTTTCCTCGGGACTCGGCAGTACTTTGCAAAGTGTTAACCACTACCACATCCTCCACCGCATTTCTGCCCACCTCACAGGTGCTGGTGGTCCCTGGGACCTGGGTGTTCGTCACTTCACCATCCAGAGGAAGAGGTGGATCGCAATGCGCAGCCTTGGACTCCCTTGGCAGCAGCCCTGGCTGTGGCGATGAACTGCTGGGCTCTGCCCCCGACACTTCCTCCCTTGAGTCTGCAGCCAGACCTGGTCCTGGTGGCACCAGGCTCAGTGGGGCCCCACCTTCAGTCAGCGGGGAGGCCTGTGGGGCCTCTTCCTTGTTGTGTGTAGCTTCTGTCTTAAGACAGGCGGAGGGTGTGTCCAGTGACTCGTGGGGCTGCAGTGCTGCGTCCTTGGTGCAGGCAGCTAAGGCAGGTTGATCACCAAACCTGGCTGTCTCTTGGGCTGGAGGCGGGATTCTCTGCTCTTCCTGCAATGTTTCTGAAGAAAGGGTGTCTTCCTTAATAGAAGAACGAGTCACTGCTTTGTCCTTGTCGTCTTGTCCCTGAGCTGCAGCGCTTTCTGGAACCACCAGATTTTTTCCTTCTTCAGTCAAAACTGACTCAGAGGCCAAAGTGGCTGTCTCCACACTCAGCAGAGAAGGGTCAGTGAGTGCTTCGGGAGTTGCTGAGTAGCCAGGCCCCTCGTGCTCCTCACCAAGGCCAGTGGGATTGGTATTGCCCATGCTGGGCTGAAGCTCTCCAACAGCAGTTGATGAGGGCGGACTTGCTGCTCTATCTTCTAGCAGCTGTTCGTCAGGCTCCTCTGAATCCCCTCGGTCCGGGCCTTCTCTGCAAGGCACAGCCCTATGGAGTTCAAGAGTTGCTGTTCCCCTTTCTTTCTGGGAGGGGACAAGGGAAAGTGCGTCATCTTTGGTTACTGATTCACCAATTGGACTGCTTGCCAGAGAGAAAACACTGTCTGATGGCACAGTCTGGTCTGGCACCAGTTCTTTCTCAGTTTGAGAGACAACCAGAGGCAGACATGAAGCTACCTCAGGCAAATTCGTTAAAGGTATATCTCGGTTCAGATCTTCTCCTTGGACCTTTCTTCCTAAAACTTCAAGAGGACAAAAATTCCCACATTCCTGGGTAACTCGTACAGGGTCAGAAGGGATGGGGTCAGCTTGTGAGTCCTCCAGACCGGTTGAAGTACACAGGTCTTGTGTGCTGGGCTGCCCAGTTGTAGTTTCAGGTGTGCTGGGCTGCTGGGTTGAGATTTCAGGCCGTCTCGCTGTGTCACTACAATGCTGTACAACCAACTCACCACTAGAAGGCACTGTGCTCTGCTGACACGCAGAGTCTGAACAAGGTTTCTCATCCCCAGTTGTACAACAAACTGGTGACTGACTGTTTGGGCTTTGAGCATGAGATGAATTAGCTTCTGATTTCTGGTCGAGCATCGCAACAGTTTGTAGCACAGGGCAAGTTAAATCACAGGGGGACATTACCTCACCCGTGCCTGCCAGAGGAGTGTCAAGTTCTGACACATTGGAAATCTTGTCTTCTGTAGCAGCTCGAATCACCACAGTGTTTTGATCTCCTACAGTTTCAGCTAGCTCCTCACAGCGTCTTAGAGTTTCCGTTCCCACTGTTTCTTCATCAGGGGTTTCTCCAGAACTCAAAGCAGGTGAAGACTCTGCAGATTTGTTGGCACTGAGGACACTAGCAGCAGAGAAACAGTTTGTAACATCTTTATCCACTAGCTCACTTCTAACTGTGCTGACAGGAGCGTTCTCAAATCTTTCCTCTATACCTTCTCCTGCCTGAAGCATATTATTCTGGGTGGTGGCAGCTAGGTTCACGAGACTCGGTTCTGCTTTTCTTGTGCTCTCGGGAGCACAGGCATCTGTCACAGAACCGTCTGCCAGTTCCCCTCCAGAGGAATGCTGGGATGTACCTAGTTCTGTCACTGTGTCTCCCGGCTGCACACTGTTACTCACAGACTCCTGTCCTGTGGCCACTCCAGAGAGTTGTGTTCCAGTTTCTTCATGTCTGGGTCTACAGGACAAAAGGTCTTCTGTATCCTTTCCTCCACAGTCAGGCAGCCTCTGAAGATGGCTGTCTTGATCAGACACAGTTCCAGAGTCCACAAGAGGTACTGGCTCCACCTTTCCCCTGGTTTTCTCCACACCTTTATTTTTCTTCCTGTGAGAACAGTCTGAATTCTCTTCCTCAGCCTCTGTTGACAAATCACGGGGACTTTTAATCTGCCCAGCAAGACTTCCCTGGCAGCAGGGAGTATTCTCAGTCTCTTCAGGAAGAGAAGAAATCTGCCGGCTGTCCGAGGACTCTGATGCACAAGAGAGGAACTGGCTGGCTGTCTCTGGGGCACTGGGCAGACAAGAGGGATCCTGTGCTGTCACTAAGGGTGTGAGATTGTCCATCTGCTTGATGCTTGTTTTCTAGGAAGAAAGTAAAGATATTTTTAACTCTATCATTCTGGTATCACTTTCCACTGATGCATCTATATATCACTGGGCTATTAAAATGACTCTAAATATAGAAAATGACTTTTTAAATAGTTTAACCTATTTTAGAAAGTCAAAGGAAATTGAGCTTTAAAAACATTGTTTCATAAAACAACTTAGCTGGGCACCAGTGCTCACACCTATAATCCTAGCTATTTGGGAAGTAGAGAGTGGGGGATTATGGTTTGAGGCCATCTAGAACACAAAAGTTCACGAAGACTCCATCTCAACCAATGGCTGGGCTCAGTGGAATGCACTTGTCACCACTAGTGACACAGAAAAGCACAAGTCGAAAAACTGAAGACCAAGCTGGCCCTGACATAAAGCCAGAGTCATTGCTCAAGTAGTAAACAACATGCTTAGCAAATACAAGATCTTGAGTTCGAGCCTCCATACAACCCCCCAAAAAATACACTGTGAATATCTTCAAATAAGTAAGTAGGTGAGAAGGCTACTTTTTACAGGGTCTCAGAGGGCCAGAACCTTCTTCAACCCATTCATCTCATATATTTAAGTAATAACAAATCTTAACCAATTTTACAAAACTCTTTTCCATCACAAGATGTAGCCAGAAGCCCACACACTTACTGAGGAGTTACAAGTTATCCTGGAACCCCCAAATTATTATCCACCCAACGAGCTCAAGTATTTGGATTTATAATTTCGCTAACAGTGACCACGCTGGAGTTTGAACTTGGAATCATACTTGCTGCTCTACCATTTAAACCACATCCTCACTCCTTTTAAGGGCTTTTAAGATTTGCTTTTAGATTTGCTTTTTTCTAACATGGCCTCACTTTTTGCCCAGACTGGCCTGGGTGGTGATTCTACTATTTACACTTCCTGAATGGCTAGAATGACAGGCACATACTACAGAATTCAGTTTTGAGGGGGTTTTTTTGGTTGTTGTTTTTTAATTGGTTAAGCTGGGACCTTGTGATCCTTCTTCCTGGGCTATCCTTAACTGCAAGTTTTCTAGTTTTAGGCTCACGAGTAGCTAGGGTTACAGGTATGAGCCACCATGACTAGCTTCTTTGGCTTTTTGATAAAAAACAATCCTCTTCTTGTCCATCACTGAATATTAAATAAATGAAATCATCTGACATTAATAATACCTAGCTTTTAACTATTATCAGAAGGTACTGTGGTTAGATGGTTTTATAAGTCATCTGAGGAATGATTTTTTTAGCATTAAAGTACTTTCTTAAACAAATAAAGCTAAAAAAGGAATGGTTAAGAAAATATAGTTCATCAATCTGGTGAAAGGATTCTATCAGACTGTGACAAAAATGGTAACTATGAAAATCACAGAACAAGCAGAAAAAACATTAAAAATATAATGTTGGAAAAATAAAATTCATAGTTAGTCAAGATTATAATTATGTAAAAATCCCATATTTGTACAGATAAGGCTTAGGAAAAATGTAGAAAATTTCAGAAAATATCAAAATTCAACACTCCTGGGCTGGGAAGGTGGCTCAGTGGTAGAGCGCTTGCCTTGCATGCTCAAGGCCCTGGGTTCGATTCCTCAGCACCACTTAAGCAAAAAGAAAAAAGCCGGAAGTGGCGCTGTGGCTGAGGGACAGTGCCCAGGCCCAGAGTTCAGGCCCCACGACCGGACCAAAAAAAAAAAAAAAATCATCACTCCTCTTAATACTACTTTTTTAATACATAAAATTAATTGAAAACATCTGGTTGGTTCTCCACTCATTATTTGATCTTCTCCAATAACTATCTCAGACATGTTCCTCTGGGTCATCTACTTACTAAGTAAATATAAACTAATACATTAGACTATTCCTGTCTACTTACCGATACTGCAAATTTATATACAAGGAATAAACTTTGGTGTTTTTCCTCACCAAATATAGGACAGGAAAATTTTTTCACTAAAAATGAGTGTGCTAGTTTCCTTAAACACTTGTGTACTAGTTTTCTTACAAGTTCTTAAAATTAGCTTTACTCCACACCTAACAAAGGGTGAACATGTCCTAAAAAACATGATAACAGGTCATCATACTTCGTGAAAGCTGAACATTACAGGAAAGAGATCTGGAGAAACGAGGGATGCTGCTTGAAGAACTTGAGAAGCTCCTGCACATGCATTTCCTACATTTTTAATTTCTCATTGCTTTTCTGTCAAACAATCCTCACAGGTATGACATCTACAAACTGGTATTTCCATGCCCATTCTCTCTTACTTAGTAAAAAGATTCTAAGAGAAAAATGTGATTTCCACTCAAAGAAAAATGACATGATTGCTTTAAGACTAAAGTGATTCTGAAAGGTAAAGGTAGGCACATCATAAACCCTGCTATGGAGTTGTTTGGCCTGAATGTCTCAGAAAAAGAATACACATTCCCAAAGAAGCGTCTAGCTTTGAGCTGACCCAACATGACCTTAAACACTATTATCAAGCTGTTTCTAAATCAAATCAACTCTGAAATAAGCTGGCTGGAAAAATTATCTAAACTTAGCCTTCAGATGTTAAGGCCAAGAGAAATACATCCATATGACATCTATATTATTCGTAATAAATGGTACCAGGGAGTCTGTAATGTTTTTATGTCTGGCAGCAACTTCATCTTCAAGGCTTGAATGGATTATAAAACCTTTATTTTGTTGGTGATCTTTTAACCATCAGTTTAAATATAGTACCATGATCATAACTCACTAAAATAACTGTGAAGAGGCTTTATTGAGTAAATTTGGTTGTGTCTCTTTAACAGCAATCTCAGTAATTGTTCTTCTTGCTTTAATTCTACAAAGTTAAACCAAACACAGAGAAATGCCAGGACAACTTAGTTGTGTGGTTGTATATTTCTGCATATACAATGTGTTTATGAGGAACTTTCATTACTTCAGAAACTTGGCAAAAATCAATTAAAACGAAAAATCGGCCTCCTACTTCTATAGCCCTAATGCCAGTTCTGTATCTTAGGCAGTAACAACTAATACCAGGAACATTGCCTATAGGTTTCGCAATCATTGGAAGAAGTATTGTAATATATGTAGTACAGCAAGATTCAGAGAGAGTGTTCATATGTGTACGATATACATGAAATAAAAATGAAAACTTTTCCTTACCATTAGTTGATGTTGGATATTCATAAGCTTAAAAATATGTCCAGTACAACTATCTCCAGGAAATGTGGGCTCATGTGATTCAGACTCAGAGGTCAATGTATAGATGTCCAACTCTCGATGATGCCTCACAGAACAATCTCCATAAGGTATTTCATAGGATAAACTGCTCCAGGAGTCTGGCTCTCCAGCATTCTCCCTGAAAACAAGCAATCTCTCATTAATATATAAATTCTACCTCCCAGCCATGTGTAACCTTTTAAGCATAATATTTCATTTCTAATGTGTTTGTGAGGAGATATGGCAAAGATTTAGTTTATATATAGCTACATATATATTCTTGTGGATTGGACTTTTCTCCATGATCTGTTTTAGGTCATCAATTTGATATTACTGTACCTAAGGCAATCATAACGTCAGCCTTTTGTATTTTGAAGTTTGTTCTGGCTTTTGGCTAAATGTGACTATAGATTTCAGTACTGCTTTCATATAGTAATGAAATTATGCTGCACTATATAATTGTCACAATTATTAGAATACCCATTTTTTGTTCATAATGGTAATTTTCTTGCTGAGATTAAAAAAATAAAATAAAAGGAAGTGAAGATATTTCTATAGCCCTTCCTCCAGAACTTTAGATTCATGTTCCTCCATCTGCATATCTCCTTTTCACTCACTTTCTAGAAGGTGTCAGCTGAGACCTTTGCATTTGTCAAATAAATCTATCAGAATTTCTAGTGTTCTTGTAGGGATGCCTTTCTGTCCTGCCAAACTTGATTCCACTACAATAATATCTTTGTGCACATTTTCCAAGGTAAATTTGGAAAGTGCCCAAGCAGAAATAGAGGGCTGAGGGACAACTTAATTACCACCTGTAGACATGGGAAGGCCTTCAACTCAAGATAAGGCAGAGTAGTTATTTTACAAGCCCAAAGTAGACTGAACATGGAGAATGACTTTCAAATGTAAATGTGATAGTTATAGAGAAAAAAAATGTGCTTTGGAAATTATAGAACATTTCAATACACCTGGGGTTCTAAGTATGAGCCTCACAGCTTACCTGGTTGGAGGGTGTTCAGAGAAAGCAAGGCTTTATCCTCTCTCTATTGGCTTTATCACCATAGCAACTATTTCACTATATGATTTTGTCTGCAAACTCTAGTGCAATGATTAATAGTAAAGCCGGCTGATAAATAAGGTCTCAACTATGAAGATTCTACCATTCAATGAATAAACAATTTTTAGACTGATAGAAATAAATAAGTTTAATTACCATGTCACCAATATGTGAACTAGAGTTTCTGGTTCAGGGAAAGAAGAAAATGTTGGTCATTAATCTGGGTAGGACCCATAACTTCAGACATGAGGTTACTATCATTAAGCTCTATTTAATAAGACAACCTAAACCTTGGCAGTACAATAAACTTCTAATCACCTCATGTGGGTTTTTATAGAGACCACTGACATGATCAAGCATCTTTCATAATTTATGACTGAAATAATCTTATCTAGAAGTAACTAGACCAATAAACTCACAATAAAGACTAAATAGGTTTTTCACAAACTACATGCAAGTTTTTTATACCTCTCTTCTAATTGGCAACTGTTACAGAAAAACATTAACATTGATTTACTCTCCCAGACAACAACACTATGTATTAAGAAAACTTCTCAAATTATTTATGAAGAACCAAGTTTTTTTGTTTTTTGTTTTTCTTTCCAATTCACAACAGAAGCACAGAGCTGTGACAACAGGATCTTGTTCTCCGTGGCAAGAGGAGGCAGTGGGGGAAAAGAGGAAGCCAGAAATATTAACTATTTTGTTAGGAGCCAGAGAACATTAGATAACTTTAATTGTCAGAACTCCGAGGTGTAAGTGCCAATATATTTACATTTTGCATGTTAGGAAAACCAGACTAGAGATATAATTTACCCCAAAATAAGAATGTTCAGAATTTAAATCCAGACTGAATGAATTCTAAAACTAAGCTTCCTCTTTTCACTAACCACAGTAACTACCTCTATAACAGCTTCAAATCATGGCTCCAATTCAACTCCACAAACTAGAAATATGATTAGGTATCTTCTGTTTTCATAAAATTTATAGGAGCAACAGAAACTTTTTCAACTGTTAAATAACACAATTTAGCAGTCATTCCTTATAGGACTACACTATTCAAACTGGGCATCTGTGCCTGCCCACGACCCAGAGTTTACATGTGTGGTGCAACAAAATTCAATACGCTCAGGGCAAATTCCAACTAGCTTCCTAGCATCCTACCTGCTATGCAAGAATCAACAACCAACTAACCAACCAACCTCTCTGCTTCTCACAACCTGCCCAGCACATTGCAACTCCAGAAAACACTGTAACATACAGTCAAATTAACTAAAGAGAAAACACTTTTCAAATCCTAACGACACTAGTCCTTCAAGGGAAGTTCAAAACTGCTTCTTGTTTAAGTACAGCAAAAAGCCAGAGAAAATGTCAGAAAACAAGTAAGGAGACCACAGCGCACCTGTGTGAAAGCTGATACTCACACACGTCTACCCAGGCACCAGGAATAACGCAAGCCCATCTTATTTCAGTTCTGGCTTCATACTGTGTGTAGCTTTAAAAGTGGAGAAAGGCAATCATGCCAGCCCTCCCAAAGGACATGTTTTGCTCTGAGTGGTGCTTCTGACAAGAAACTGCAGCAGTTCCTTATTTGAAGGTTATTGCGCTATCAACCATGAAACCCTATCACCATAACATTGCCAAACCTCTATGGGGCTTACAAAACCATCCACACTCCACTGACATGGAGCTAGAGTGGCTGAATTCCACATTGAGAAGCAGTTGGGGCACAGTGGGAAAGAGCTGTTCCCCCTTCAAAATTAAAAGGTGAACTTATCAGCTCATGGCCTTGGGCCAGCTGTTCAGCCTCTCTGTGGATCGATTTTGCCTGTGGAGAATACTGAATGTACCAACTAAACCTCAAGGTTTTGAGAGATGTCTAAATGACAACACAAGAGAAGCCTGGAAGTAGCCGAGTGTGCACTAAGAAGCAGGGACCTGGAATTACTTAGTTATCACAGTACTGCCCATTGCTTGTTCCCATACACTCCTGCCTCATTCATTTACCAAAACACAAAGACCCAAAAGACAGTCACAAAGGAGGTGAGACTGATGGACAGAACGGAGGATATGACACAGGGAAGAAAAATGCCAAGCCATTCCAAGTCCTGCTCTCTATTTTTAAACTAAATTTGTACAGTCAGTACAAATTCTTCATTCCTTTCCCCTCTTAAACAAAAGCAAAGGTTCCATCTTGTTTTATGACAGGTCAGCTACTGAAGACCCCTCTGTCAAAGATGTAAAGAGGACCCTCAAAAGGAAATCACTTAGCTGACAAAACAGCTTACACAATAGTACATGGCTCTATTGTGAAATAGGTCAGTGCAGTAGTTATTCTACCACCTGGCTGAACCCAGGTGTCAAAGGGAGGGCTTGAGAACCTACAGCCATGAGTCCCCTGAGAAGAACCAATACTACCTACTACAGGAATCCATGTCTACACCCTGAGGGCTGTCCACATGCTCCCCCTCACCCTGGACATCAGGGGACCTCAGGCCCACACCTTGTGACTTGTGACACTTCACTTCTCTAGTCTGTTTCCTCAACTACAAAACATGGGCAATAATACTCTACCCCCTCGCAAGGCTCTGTGAGAATCAATATGTAAAACAATAGCTTGATTGTAATCAACCACTGATGAGCAACGCCAAGATATTATACAGAGTACCTCGTTTTCCTCAGGAAGAGGTTAAGACTACATGGAAAACATAGGACCCTTTCCTAATTAAGTAGTACTTAATCCTGTATTCTAGTAGTCTCCTACTGAAACTCTTCTTTCTGCCAGTTCTGTAAAAGGAAGAATGTTTAGAAGAGTAAATATGCCACTCTCTCAATAGGGTGGGGCTACGGATTTAGCTCACTGAGCTGCCACATTCCATCCACAAAACACAAACAGCATCTACTTTAGAGAGGTCATCATAAGGCTAAAATAATACCTGCAATGTACTCACTGTAGTTTCTAGTGCAGTGTGGGTATTCAGCCAATTGAGATTTGTTGAAGTGATACTAAAAATGAGATAAAGTTTCCAAAGACAAATAATTTTAAACTGGCTCTTGGGGCAATGGAAATATTTCAGCACTTTGTGTCAACACTCCACAGCTAGAACTCTTAAGAAATCTTTTTCTAAAGATGGTGGCATAGGGGCTGGGAAGATGGCTCAGTGGCAGAGCTCTTGCCTTGCATGCAGGAGGCCCTGGGTTTGATTCCTCAGCACCACATAAGCAAAAAGAAAAAAGCCGGAGTGGCGCTGTGGCTCAAGTGGTAGAGCCTTGAGCTAGCCTTAAGCTGAAGAGCTGAGGGACAGCGCCCAGGCCCAGAGTTCAGGCCCCACGACCGGACCCAAAAAAAAAAAAAAAAAAGATTGTGGCATAAAGCTGGGTGCTGGTGGCTCGCACCTATAATCCCAGCTGTTCATGAGGCTGAGATCTGAGGATCACTTTTGAATTCAGTCGAGGCAGGAGTCGGTGACATTCTTATCTCCAATTAACCACCAAAGGCTGGCAGGTGTGGCTCAAACAGTAAAGCACCAACTTAAGCAAAAAAGCCAAGCACCCAAGTCCTGAGTTCAAGCTCCACTACCAGAAAAGGGGGAGGGACAATAGTAGATAATATTCACATTAGTCACCAAGTTATGCCTTCTTTGTGGAGTCATTTATTTCTGAAGATTTCTTGCAAAACTAGTAATATTTTACCAGCACCTCACCTACTTTTTTACCTCATGAAAAAGTTTTAAAATCTATCCTTTTCAATATTTAGAAAAATGCATCATTTTTCTGGCATGTTACATGACTGAGTCTTTAAGATGATATGCTGTGTGAGAGGAACCTAACACAGGACAAATATTTCATGATCCTCATTCATGAGATGTATCTAGAATAGGGAAGTTCTTAGAGACAGAACATAGAACAGAAGTTACTCTGATATGGGGAAGGAGACTAAAGTTAGCACCTTCTGGGTTTAGAGTTTCTATCTGGGGTCATGAAAAACCTCCCGAAATAACAGATAGTGATGACGATTATAAACTGCAAACCTAAAAATGTCTGAAATGTGCGTATGTGTGTGAGAGAATGAAAGAAGAGAGTGAGTATAGGATAATCGTCGTTGTCGTCATCGTCATCATCATCATCATCATCAAAACCTTCCTGACTCATGAGGATCGGAATTCTAGCCAAGGCCCCATTATTACAGTGACCCTGTGAGGATGAAGACTGGCTTCCTCACGTTGCGGTAGGTACCCCTGACCAAGTACTTTTCCCACATGGTTAACAGTGCAGCAGAAGTCAAGCTAAAGGCTAGACCTGCAGCAAGGAGCTCATGTTCTCCTATCAAGGTCTTCTACATGGCAGTTTCTCTAATTGGCTTTCCTTACCACTCTTCCTTCAAAAGGAAATAACTAGCTTTCCCACATGTAAGGGAAGTAGAAGTAAAATCTCTTCTCCCAAAATAACCAAATGCTCTCTAGTTTTCTAAGCTGTGCTGCAGTAACAGCCTGGTGCCATCCTGGTCCAGGCACATAATGAAGCTGTCATAATCATTTTATTGCCCCATTTGGATGGCCGTCCTTAACTGAAACTGCTTCCCAGCCGAAACACTGAGCTATAACAAAGCCAAATAACTATAACCAAACAGTTATACAGACCTCTGGAACGAGGCCTCCCTTCCAGAAACCACGAGCCAGCAGCAGAGTGAATGTAATCCCCCTCCAGATGGGAAGTGTGAAGGGCAGAGGCGATCCCTCTCTGGAATACTGTCACAGGACAGCTCAGGTATCCAAAGCTCACCTGAGACGAAGATGGCCCCACCTGCAACTGTAACACCCATTTAGAGGGCATCGGAGCCTTCTGTCTGGCCTGCCTGGGAAAGTTATACGCTTGGCAAATGAAGCAAGGAACAACTACACAACCACACTGCGCTTACACTCTGAAGTGCCTTCTTGATCCACCCAATTCACATACAGCTAAAAATGAAACCACAGAAAATGCATCTAAGTTAAATCTGGCAAGAGCAAAATACCTAAGAATTTGGAAATTCTGCATCCATTTTTTAAAAGGGTCCCTCAATTGTTAAAGAACACAGATCCAATGGAGTTTATTCTTATTTAGACAATGTGATATAAAAGATACCCATAAAACTAATTTAAAAAATACTAATTGAAAAAGACAAACTATTCTTGAAGCTTCTGCCTTTGATAAACATTCCAATGAAAAGTACTGCTGCTCTAATGCATTGATTTTTCTATTTGTATGAGAAAAAATAAGGAACTCAAAATATTTTGACTAGCAACCTTCCTCTGAAGGCCTTTTTAAGGAGTTAGACATATTAACAATTGAACCCAAACACAAACAGGATTTCCTACTGCACATTTCCAAAACAACACGGTTTCATCTTACTACTATTCATATGAAACCATTGCTCTGAATGTATTTATTCACTAGGAGTATATTCAAACCCAAACTCAAATCATCTGTCAATTTTTCTGTATCATCAAAGTAATGGTTTCCAATCAACTCTTTCAAGTCAGGGGCAAAAAATGTACATATATATGTATATGTGTTTATACGTGTGAGTGTGCGCACGCGCGCACGCGCGCACAAGAAAGACTGCTTCCTCTTATACTAAGACAGGATAAACTGCACACATCGCTAATTCCTGCTAGTCCCCATCTTGAGTCTTCAAAAAGTATTAGAAGCAGTGAAAGCCAGGAGGCTGAGGAGAGAAAAGGTTAACACGACTTACGTTTGTGTCTCACAGACAGCTTGCAAACCAGCAGCAGCGGCGGCGGCGGCGGCAGCTAGGTACTGAGGTTTTAATCCATGCCAATGGCACACTGAGAAGCCAAGTGGGCTGTACCACAACGACTTGGGGTGGGGCTAGTGAGGAGAGGAGGAGGCACAAAGGGAGAAAAAGAGCACTTACTCGGTTAGGAGCTGGTGCAGCTGATGATAACCTCGCTCCAAGGCCAGGCTCACAGGCGTTGCCCCTTCCTGATTGTGGATGCTTAGAGCTCCACGGCCACCTGGTTTCTGTAACAGGAACCATGTCAACCGCAGCAGTCCTAGCCGTACAGCAAAATGCATCAGTGTCTCCCGGGGGGTACCATCTATAGATGGGGAGAACATGAAAAAGTAATGGGATTACCAGCACCACCGAAGAAAGACAAAAGAAAGGACAAGTCAGGTAGACACCACTACCTCCAAGTGTCTACAGTCCTGTACTCAGGGATCTACAAGCCAAGACTGAGTGAACTTTATTATGGTCAGGTAGAATCAGCTGACAGGCCAAGACAAAACAAAGCCAGAAAAAAAAAAAAGAAGTCCAGGAAGCACACTCTTCAACAAGAGGCAGCCCCACTTAGGCAATTTTCCTCTAAAGGAAAAAAAAAAAATACTGAAGTGAATGCAGGCTCACAAGAGAGAAATCTGAGGGAGGGGGGTTCAGTTGTTAGGACTTAAGATGGGTGTTTCTTTGAGGGTATAATTACTTTTAAAAAGAACACTCAGACAGGAGTTGGCTAGTAAAACACTACAAACTGGTTCTACTTGTTAAGTACACACAGGTCTTTTTAGTTCCCCACGTTATTAAAAGTATATCAAGACCGCTGCTACTGCTGGCTTTTGTTTGTTTAATGAGAAAAATAAATGCTTTTTCCAGCCTAATGAAGACCAACTTTAAGACAATACATTAATAAGTTCAGAAAGAGAAGTGTGCTTGGGCTTTGCTTAAAATTAAGGCTTCTTCCTGGCATAATGAGTCACTTTGATGGAAGGAGGATGGGCTTTGGAGTCGGGCCAAGCTGGGTTCAAACCTGGTATTTAGCCTCTGTGTGACGAGACCTGATTCACAGCCCTTCTCTGAGCTTCACTTTCCCCATCCTAGAGTGAGACACCATCAAACTCTCAGAGGTGTCAGAGCTAATGAGAGGGCACCGGTGAAACACTGGACTAATTGGCCAAGCTAACGCAAGTACTGATTAAATGCCAGTTCTGTCCTTTACTCCATTCTTGGCCCTGAGCTTCACATTACATTGTAGGTCCACTAGCAGTATTCTGTCTGCCACTCAGTCATTCTCTTGTGCCTAGCCTGAGATGACAGGACCAAAGGTTACCAGGACCTGAGGTATGTGGCTCCAGTATGCATTACTCAACTCCAGGATGTCCTGCTTTTTTCTTCTGGCTTCCACTATCTCTCACTCTTCATGGCTGCCCCTGGGTCCCCCTTTCTTCACTGTGCATTCTGACTTCTTAGACCCCAGTGTTTCCTCTTACTCTGAAATCTGCAAATGCTTCTATGTGTGAATATCCCAAAAGCAATGAATACGTTTTTAAAGCTCTAATTTTATACTGAACTACACTGTTTTCTGAAGTTACTGGTGGGTGAGTGTAGTCTTGTTCCCAAGGTAAGTTTTCTTGAAAGCAAAATCTGTCTTTCATCTTTTATATTTTCCCTGCATACCCATATATACACAGATTGATTCTGAATTTTTAAACAGTTTAAAGAGAGGCCTGGAGCAAGAAAGGAAGAAATCAGGGACTGAGGACATAGTTCAGGGATGGGGCACTTACCTACCTTGCACTAGGCTCTAGGTTTTGTGCTCACAAAATAAAAGTATCAATACATGACTCAATGTTTCCGAAAAAAGGACATGTGCAGGTACAAGTTTTAATAATCAACATCTCTAAGGAGGTAGAAAGGACAGAAGGAACTCTTGCAAATCCTTATCAAAAACAGAAGAGCAAGTAAGGCATTGACCAGGAAAATATGTACTTTTTCTACAGCCAGTTAGTTCCAGCCCTACCAGTTGACTGACTCCTCCTTCAAGTGGCTTTCCCTTCAGCCCCCACCCTTTTCTGTCCCTTGTTTGCTCTGAGTCAGCATGGCATTTATGAGCTCCAACAAGGTGTGCACCTGCTCAGAATCTGGCAGGTTGGCTCCTGCACTACATCATCCCTAAGTCTCTCTCTGAAGCTCCCAGTGGTAGGGGCCAGGACTGCTACAAGAGGTTGGAAGGGCTTACCATGTTCCCACCATACTCTGTACAGCTCTCTATAGGCTACATCCATTTTTCCCAGTAACTTGATGAGAGTTCATTATCTTCATTTTGCAGTGGAACTAAATAACACTCAGCCAGAATTGGGACGTAAAACTCTTCTATTAAATCTAAAAGTCATATCCCTTCCATTACTCCAGTATCTCTGTTTTGGCTTAAAAGTGGGGAGAAGAACACCACACAACCTAATTATGTGGTCTTAAAAAGCATCTTTTCGAGCATCTACAATGTTATTCTTTAAAATCTGCACATAACTAGAGAAAATTATATAATCATGAAATAAATGCTCACCAACCTAGGTTCTATAATGAATGTTTTTCTACTCAACTTTATCTGCTCAACTTTCTATCCACACACTTATCAATCCATCTTATTTTTTGTGCACTTCAAACTAGGGATATACTTCAGCATTCATATCATTAATCAAAGTTCCATAACACATAGTTATAATTTTAAGTTTATTTACACATCCAGTAGTCAAATGCAAATGGTGAAACATCTGGTAACATTTTGACAAATGCATATATCTACACTAATTCAAACTACAATCAAAACAAAGAAGCCCCTTCCCCATCTGCCCATTACTGGAGTCAAACACTTCAGAACTTTTCACCACCAACTGGCTTGAAGCCAAAGCTCCTTAATTTCATGCCTGTGTCCGAAGTATAAGGAGACTGTGGAACATACTACATACAAATGTTGTATAGTTAGGTAGTTAAGTGCACTGATTATTATGGAGAGATCTGAGCACACTGACCTAGAAAAAAAGCTAAAAGGCAAACACTGCACAACCAACAATGAGAATAGGAGAAGATCAGCCACAAACCCCACATATGCCTTTGTACACCTGTGAGCAGGCAGTCCTCGTTAGGTATCGAGGCTCCCTATTAATCTGTACTATCGTCCCAGGCGCCCAGCTTACTCCATACCTTTTCCCTTTTAAAGTAGCCAATTTACATTTTTTTAGAAGTAGTCAATGTGCAGTTGGCTGGACCCTCAACAATCCTGGTAGAATTAAAAATGCACAGAACACTCAAGCTGGCCAGTCTCCTATCAAAGACAGGAAAATGACATACCCTATGCTTCAGACCTTCTTCATTTTTTCTAACTTCTTTTTTATCAATGGAACATAAACCCAAACATGAACTTGTAGGTCCTCTTTTATTTAAATAAGAGAAAACAAAACCAAAAAAAAAAAAAAGTGCTATAAGCCCCACACAGAATTAATGTGGTAGGTACTTTAATGCTGGTTCATAAAAGACCCCTAGATCACTACAGAAACGGCAGGAGTGAGAAGTACCGAGGTCCAATATGATGTCAAATATCTGAATCTTGATTATCTTGATTATTTTAGCAAAATAAAAGTTACTTGGCTACTACATGAGTTAGATAAAGAATAAATGGTCTCTTTCTTGACTTGATTTTGTAGTCTACACTTTCATATCTTAGCTGGGCAGGCCTGTCTTAGTATGTTAGATACCTATCTGGATACCTCCCTGATAAAAGGGGGACACCACCATTCTGATGGAAGATCAAGGGCTGAACTGAACTGTTAAGTGTAGTAGACTTAAGAGACTAATTCACAAATACTATTCACCATTATCCTTGGGAAGAAGATTGGGTGAATCTAAGGAATCAGAGATCAGAGCACCTGAGCATGCTCTAAGCTCAGGCCCCTCTAGGTATCTCTCCTCAGGAACTGCTAGCTCTAGGAACACAATAACCTAAGCTGTGCACACTCTGCACAGCACATGTTCTTTTGGAGAGGAAGTAGAAAGTATAAGCAACAGGGTGGGAGGCATGGCTCAGGTAGTAATGTGCCTGCCAATGAGCATAAAGCATCAGATGCTGAGTTCAAATTCTGATCTTGGGAAAGAAAAAAAAAAGTATAAGCAAAATCTTAGTGGGAGCACTAATTCAGATTTCATCTGTGCTTTCATCAGTATTAAAGCAGACATTTTCATCTGTGTGTGACTTCTAGACTTTGCAATTAGATTTACACTCAAGATGCTATTTACAGAACCTAGGTTTTTTTTAATATTTCACTTAAAATATGTACATGGATGATCATGACACCTAATAATGTCATCCATTACAAGCCTAATTATGTGGGAATCCCTTTGAGTAAGAGGACAGACGTAAGTATTCATGACATCAGTGTTTTGTTTTAACAAGAGTAGAGACCTTATTTGAAGAACTCTTATTTAAAGCGCCAGAAGTGTGGGGATTTTCAAAGCTTATCCGGTCCTCAGGCTCCCAAAGGCATTCCTTTCCTCCAACTACAGAACCTCTAGAGCACACAGAACACAGCACAGAAACTCTGCCTTCGATAATCACACACCAAAGTCTTGTCTCCTCATGAAGGATGATTGCCTCCTTGATGAAGGGATCAAGCCTGAAATCCAGACCCGCAGAAGGTGATATGCCAGTCTCTACTAGGGTCATTTCCAAGAACCTTGAACTGATGCCTTCCTGGGTACTTGTAGTTGCTTTGCTATAGTAGTTCTACCATTTACTCACCCACTGTAGTACGCTTGAGTAGAACAACCATATTATTAAGAAGGGAGCCCCATACAAAAACAGAAGGGTCCAAATGTGACGTTTGTTTGTGAGTCACATAAATTCTCACCATGCAACATGTGATCTGTCCCCAAGACATTCCACTCTGCAGGCAACTTTAGGTGTCTGAACGCCAGAGCGACCTTCTCATCAAGTGAATTCACATCTCCAGATGGGGGTCCCGACCGGTCAAGAAAGCGAGTGAAGTTCAGAGCCTGCTGGTCACCAGCACTGGCTGCCAGGAACCGAGCAGCATAGCAGGCCTCATCCTGGACAAAGTGGAAGTCTTCTTCTGCCACTACAAACACAGGAAGGCCCTCTTTGGAGGCACAGAGCAGCACCTTCACTGTCTCACAGCAGTCATGACCTAAAGAAAACACAGACAAGAAAGGAAACAGCCTTAGAGAGAGTCCCCTCAGGAAAGACGTTGTGGGGGCAGGGGGAGAGGCAGAGGCCTTTGGCTCCTTCAGGCCTGCTTCTAAGGACTGACAGTAGTTCCCCAAGTTCTAAAACCTATTTTTTGGCTTTTTAAATTGTTACTATGCAAATATGGCCCCCTTAACAAACAGAAAGGAACTGATCATCCCAGCTTTAACCACATCTCTACTAATAGCTCTAAGAGACTGGGCTATGATGGTCAACTACTGCCATTCAATCTGAATGACAAGGCAATCAATTTACCTGATTTTACTTAGTTATCATTAGTATACCTTAGCCTACCAAATAAATAATGATTGCTCACTGAGTTCACCTGAGCCACATAAGGATGATGCAATGCAGTGGCTAGAAGCCCAGTTCAGAAAAAGCAAATATACCAAAGATACTACACTGCCCACTGTACAGACTGGCAGGCACCCAGGAGCCTCCACACGGGGGTAACCCACAGCCTACCTCAAACAGATGAGCCTAGACCAGATTACCGAGCTTTCACAGCACAAACTTTCTGTGTGGCAAAGTATTTCTGGAGAATCAAGATGTTTTCCCCCCTAGATTGTTAGCCTTTAAGAATTAATTACATGCTTCCAATACACAGATCATATTCAAAAAAGCACTAATGTTTCTTCTCCACTTTCAAATACTGATCAACTAACCACATGTCCATCATTAATTACCCATCACTCATTAGCTCTCTTCTCCCATAAAACACCTTTCTGAGTAAAAAAAAAAAAAAAAAAATTACATCACACCACTCTCTGCCTGACTGGTCATGCACCCTGGGAATTCAAGAGTTCTCTTGGTCTATACCTTATATAGGTACTGCTTCCACAGCGCAGCAGCACAGCAGGGACCCTCTAAGTGCTCCTAAAGTCCGCACTCCTACTTCACTAACATAGGAAAAAGACATTTCAGAATCAGAACAAACTAAGCATTCTGTTCTTTTTTTTTTTTTTTCTTTGGGTCTGGTTGTGGGGCCTGAACTCTGGGCCTGCGTGCTGTCCCTCAGCTCTCCAGCTCAAGGCTAGCGCTCTACCACTTGAGCCACAGCGCCACTTCCGGCTTTTTTCTTTTTGCTTATGTGGTGCTAGGGAATCGAACCCAGGGCCTCATGCATTGCAAGGCAAGCACTCTACCACTGAGCCACCTTCCCAGCCCCCATTCTGTTCTTTTTGACAGAGAAAACTGAAGGTTTTTTTTTCCAAGCAGCCAAGGATTTTTCTAGTCACCTTTCCCCCAGGATCCTCAAGTCTTTTGCCCTTGTGACAAATGAAAACTGCTCACTGCTCACCTGAAATTCTAGGTTGATATTAAGTAGCTACTAACCAAGTATCTGCTACCTACCAGGCATCTGACTTGTATCTATTTACGTAACAATTTTATGAGACAGATGAGAAAAGTGAAACTTCAAAAAGTAGCATGCCCATTACAACAGATACATGGCAGTAGAACACACTATTCAAAGTCTCAGCTGATCCAAGGGGTCTGAAGCCACACTGTGTATGAACAGAGGAAGGAAGATAAGATCAGGTAAGCCTTGGTGAAGAAGCCTCATTACACTTGGAAGGACAGGCCAGATGACCATGAATCCAGGTTCAGGACTACGAGGATCACCTAGCTCCTTGAGGTATACTGCCTCCCAAGCTGAATTCCTTCTGGGAAGGTTAAAGAAAGCTGGAGCATCTTCCACCCCAGCAATTCCATATGTACATGGAACTTACACACTTCATATGTGAAATAAAATTAGGGGAAAAAAATTTTTAAATTACTTTAAAGAGTAATCAGCCTAATTACACAAACATTAATGCCAGCAGAAACATGCCAATTAATTTCTGGTAATAGATTTGTGTACCTTCCTGGCAGAGTATTTACTTTAAAATGTTCCATAACATCTGCTGACTGAGATAAGCCAAGCTAAAAAAAGCTAAATGTTATATACTTTTGCACATGTTGAACCTAGATTTAAAAGACATTACCTATTCATGGACATGTACATACGTGTATATACCTGTATACATAATTTACAAATACACACATATATACACATAGAACATGATTCTAACTCCGGGACCATGTAGAAAGAAGATGGGAAGGAGAAAGAGGAAAAAAGAAATATGGAGGGTGAGTAATTTTGAGCTACAGCAAATAAGAACAATGTATGAAGACAAAGAATTTCAATGGAAGCTGTTGATAATAGAGGGTGGAGGAATAGAGGAACAGGCAGCAACAGAGAGGGTTCTCCGAAGCAACCCCTAACATATGTATGTCTGAAACACCAGAGTAAAACCTCTTGGCATAATTAACACACTAAAAAATAATAAGATAATAAATAATAAGCCCTATTGAAGAAGAACACCAGTAGGAGTACAGAGGACTAAGCAACGGAGTGAGAGAAGATGGACACGCTTTACCTAGTTTTCATGTTTGACAATGGAACAATGAAGCCTGCTGCAATGGTGTGAAAATGTGGGAGTAGAATGGGGAAGAGTGATAGTGAGGCAATCGGGAACATTGTTTACCCATGTGGAAGTCACAATGAAATCCCCTTCACACAACGAATGGACATTAGTTAAAAAAAACGTTTTGTAGCATGTAACTCAATTTGGTTCAACCACTAACCTTTGGACTGCCATCGCGTTTAGGTAGCGTGATTAGAAGGTGAAGACAAACAGGAATCTCAACCTTCCAGTGCTTTATAGTCCACAGTCCACAAGAAAGACTCAAACAAGATGTAGGTGATGCTCTGAGACCAAGTGGGGTCAAGATACACAGCATCACATTACTTTCAAAAGGGGCAGGGGGATTTATGTCTCAGAAGTATTACTTTATGGGGAAAAAAATGTCATGATCCAGGCCTCTAACAAAACCATACCATAGTATCATTTGTTCAGTTCAACAACTTTACCTAAATTCTCACAAGTCACATGAGGTAGATATGACTAAAAATCAATGAACAGTAACATCACAAATGTCACAATTCTACCATCATATAAACAATCTGGGATCCAAATTGAATTCTACTTTCAAAATTTAAACTGACTGTGTCTTAAGAGGAGATATTACACTTACAATGGTTATAAACAGTCCTTATTCTTTACTAAATCTCCTTTCCCAAACTTCTGCAAAGATGAGAAACATGAAAACTTGAATCAGGAAGGGAGTCACAATGTCAACAGAAGTAAACAACACATACTGGTTTATGAAATCACCTTCTGTATGGATGTATGAACATACATACATGTATAAACATATGGAAGGAGGAAGAAGAGCAAGGGAGGAAGGGAGGGGAGTGAGGATCCACAGCAGATCAATAATACTTTTATTCAAAGCTGTGACCTGTAGAAGCAGCTGCTCAGAAATTGATCTGGGACTGCTAAAATAATTGTTTGCTTAGACAGAATGAGATGGGAAAGCGAGTCAAGGTGACCTAAAAGTGAGGTGGGGGGGGGGGGGGTGGGTATTTGGCAGCACAAGTATATCTTTCTGCTGCTTGGCAAAGGAATCTATTAGCAAGTGGAAGAGTGTATGAGGGAGCTATTCTCAGCTCTATTTATGTAAAACTATAACAAGTGTCAGGCAGACATCAGGCCATGAAAGGCCTGATAGATATCTAGGAAAACGGTCCAACTGTTAGTCCAATATTTTCCCTTCAGACATGAACTCACAATCTAAAGGATAAACTATGAATCACCCATAAAATGTGCCATATCTAGAATTTGTTTGGTGTGATTAAAGATTTGTTTTTCAAAAGAAAAACCGAAGGCTTTAAGAGAAATGGAGACCTGAGTATGTCTTGATAAGACTTCATTAAAGAGTAAACTGGAAGAGTTTCTACTGAGGAAAAACAAAGCACCTCACCCTTGTTTCTGGAAATCAACCATGCAGATTGACAGGGCTAGTCTTTTATTAATGTTTTCTATTATGCTAAAGTGGCTCTCGAGATTAATTTTGAATTCCCATAGTGTTCTGTGTAAAGCAGCTAGGAGAAAAAATTAGTATTTAAGAACAAAACGTTTATATAGTATCAACCTAGTCATAAAACTAGAACTGCTGCACATGCACACATAAACCTTCTCCCACTGCAAACTCCAGAAACGTGACTATTTGCAGAGGGCATAAGTCCCATGACCACTGCCTTTGTACATAGTACATGTGGGACATTAACTACACTGCACCATACAGACAGGATGGGAAATTACATCCAAGTTGATGTAAAAATCACAATTAACCTTTTGCATAAAAAAAAAAAAAATAGAACCTACAAGTAAGGAAGTCAGGCAGCAAGATTTTGAGCTACTTCAATGGTGTTTCTTTGTCCAGTCAATTTCCTGGTATTAGGGTAAAACAAAAATCACAGTTTTAGGGCTGGAGGCATGACTTAAGAGGTAGAACACCTGCCAAGCAAAGCACAAAGCCCTGAGTTCAAACTCCAGCACATAGGTATGTGTATATAATACAGTTATGGTTTTTATATATTATAATACATACATAATACATAAACTCATTAGCTGGAAGGGATCTGTCTCCAGCTTATGAACTGTAAGGAGTTCCAGTAATGGCAATGAGATGCAGAGTTGGAAATACTAGGTGTGGACCCCAGGCTCCCTTGAAAACAAGTTTGCTTATGCTAAGAAAGTAACTCAATCTTAAAGCCTGATTCTTTAACCAAAAATGAGAATGCCAGAACCTCACAAAATAGCCCAAAACAGACAGCTGAAACTGTCGTTCTCATCAGCTTTTCAAATGTTCCAGTTGGTGATGGTTCAAGGAAAGCGGATCTCTAAAATTTTTCAAAGATCTTCTCCAGCCAGCATGGACCAACAAAGCTTCAGTGCCAAATGTTGTTCAGTTGAAAAAAAGTTTTTTTATTTCTTTAAATTTTATTGTCAAGGAGATGTACAGAGGGGTTACAGCTACATAAGTAAGGTTCAT